GCCCCTGGAGGTCGGAATCGAATTGACATAGAAATATCATTTATGACATGGTAGAGGAAGTAATCCTCCTTGACGGTACACCATCTAAACCAACCAAATAGGAAAAAAATGACATGATTGTCTAGATAAATGCCTCAAGGCCTAGTTCTCGTGATAACATCGTAGACGATCTCACGAACCAATTAGATTCTTTTAAAAAGCGGTGGCATAGAACTCTAAGTCAGAATATTATAGCTTGAAATAATCTGAACATTACGTTCGAGTTCGTCAACCTATATGAAGGGATGTAGAATGAATGAGAAAGTGATCCGAACCGATAAATTCCCTTTGTATTATCACTCAAAATTCCAATAAAGATCCATACAATATTATTAGTCTTTTCAAATTTCTTTTAAGTTGGTATTATGATATATACATAGCTTATGGTTTCGACGGTTGGACCTATAGGGTGTATGCGAATGGAATTATTAAGGGAGAAATTTCAGAGTTTCGAGAAATTAAAGTGGAAACACAAAAGAAAAAAAATAATTATATTTAGGAAGAACGAATGAAAAGTGGAATTGATAAGCTCTTCCTCCATGTCAGTCGGCAGACACGGAGAAATGCACTTTAAAATTTAAAGAAGGTCAAAGAATTTGCTTATGCTTCGACATAGCCACTAGGTAAAAAATTAATTTTTTATTAGATTTTAATAAAAATTTATAAAATATATAATTAAAAATTTAATAATAAAAATGTGAATCTCATTAGATAGGTAATCGAAAATGAGTTTTAATAAAAATAAATTTTTAAAAAATGAGAGCCAAACATATGCATAGTTAAAGTAAAACAAAATTAATATTTAACAACCATTAAAACAAGAGTAATAATATTTAATCTCATGGACGTTAAAAGTTAAAATATCAATCTAGATGGTACTAAGGTGATATTAAATGATAAGTACAATTAAATAAGTCACTCAATTCATTTCATTGAACTTATCATATTACACCACATAGACAGACGTTGTTAGATAACATTATTATTAAAACAAAATTATTTTTTTGTCAAACTCATTTTGAATTACACATTTTTACCATGAAATATTCTGTACGTAACCACAAATTTTTTTCCTACTTTTTAATTGAGCATTCTTTAAAAAATCACTATTCTAAACTATTTTTGTCAAAAAAAAAATCTCATTTTAATGATTGTCAAATATGGGCTAAATGAGATGGACATGTAGAGCTTGTTTGATGTAGCTTTTTCAAGAATATATTTTGTAAAATAGAAATTTCACGAGGACTTCCCGGAAGAGCTTCCAGATGGATTGCCGCCGAACCGCCATTTCGTGGTGATAATTTTGATGATGATGAGGTTTCTACCCCATCAAATTCGAGGGCGAATTTTTCTCAACCCGTGGAGAATGATGAAAGTAAAATAATAATTTTATTTAATTTCGGATTTGTTCGTTTTTGACGAATTGTTAGTCTAATTTGATTG